AGGTTGTTTCACACGTAGTATACACGCTCCTTTCGAGCTGAAAAAAACTTCGGTTTTATTATGAGCAAAGTAATTTATTAATTTGTATCATTATCAAGCCATTGTTTCTTCTCTTTTTTTTTCTCCATAAATTCTTATATTTTTATTTAATCTTGTTTCACAAATAAATGACATTATTAGATTTCTTTTTTATTTTATTTATTTCGTGGCTAATTGAATATTAACACAGTTCAAAGAACAAGATCAGGAGCAATGTTTCGCCAACACATATTACTCGTCTAAGAGAAGGATTATCATTGGGGCCCGTCTTTTAAGAATGTATACTGTATTAACAGCTAAATCTCTTAAATGGATTTATTAATTAAATTTAAGTAATTAAATTTTTAATAATTTCGGCACCATGATAAAGATATAAATAAATTTATTAAGTATATTTATATAGAGAGTTCTGCCTCCACCGTATAACTTTTAAAATGTATCAGAATATTGAATCCTTTCGTAACAATCAGTAGGAGGGTCTCTGAAACTCATTATAGGGTATATACAGAATACGTTACGCCGTATTAAGGCTAGTAAGTTTCACTCTGTTCTGGATTGTAAGTTAAATAAACTTTTATTTATTTTATTAATAATGAGATTTTTTTTTCGTTTTCTTTCTTTTTTTTTTTTTTTACAAAATTAATTTTATATTTTATTAAATGATTTTCAGCATTCACCCGGATGTTGATTGCTATTTCTTGTAACTTTTATCTGCAATTTTCCTTTCAACCAAACTGGTTGAATTTCTTTTCAATTAACTTTATTTCAGACGAACTTTACTTCTATTACTTAAGAAACGGAAAGAAAAGGAAATGAAGAAATATTTCATTCTTCCTCAAAAAAAATAAAAAATAAAAAAACAGAAAAAAAAACCCTGTTTTTCCTTCTCTGAGAAGTTTTTCTTTCGTTTTCCTTTGTTTCTTGTTATCGAAACGCTTAGATCGGTTGATTTATATGCTTTGCCTCTTTTATACTTGGGAGCTTGTCTCACCGGAACAGCGTTTTACTGATTAGGCAATTGAAGGTTATTATTCATGCTAGATGCTTAACGGTGGCAGAATGTAAAATCCGACCTAATGTCGCGTTAAAAAAAAATGACTAGCAAAAGAAAACGAAAGAGAAAACGGTTAAAATATATGCTTAAAAGGAAAATTCGAAAATTTAAGGTTTATTTTGGAAAAAAGTTTCGTTCTTTGAATTCTACTTTCAAGAATGATTTATGTAAATTATTTGAAAAACTAAAAAATATATATATATATATATATATATATATATATATATATATATATATATATATATATATATATAGGGGCGGTTGGTAGCAATTCACAAACAAGTCACAGTTTGGTCGAAGTCTAAGGAAAGTATTTTATTTAAAGTTTTAATCATAATTCTATTTTTTTTTAAATTTCGTGTAAGAGTTTGAATATAGATTTACTACTGTCTTTTTATAGATTTCGTCTTTTCATAAACTTTTGAGTTGATTGTATTTTTCGAGTGTCACAGTTTCACGCATCGATGGCTCTTATGTTATTTTTTGTTTGTTTTTGCTGCTTGTTTTTTTCAATGTTAGAGTCTAATCGATTTCTCTTCTGCTTTTTTCCATTATGTTGTGAAAAGTATTTGTCTCTTCCTTATTTGTATATTGATCTATTCATGTGTAAACACTTGCTGAAATCTGGAAAATAGGTCTGAAACAATATAAGTAAAAACTCAAAAATTTCTATTGATCTTCAAACAAAAATATATATATATATATATATATATATATATATATATATAAAATAAATATATATATTATAAACAAATATATATATTTAAACAAACATATATATATATATAGATTTTGAATTTGAATTTTTAAATTTTGAATTAAACAAATATATATATATATATATATATATTGTATGTATGTATGTATGCATATATATATATATATATATATTTGAATTAATGAATTACACAAATATATATATAAACAGATATATATATTATAAACAAATATATATATATATATATATATATAAACAAATGTATATATTATAAACATATATATATATATATATATATATATATATATATATATATATATATATAACTTTTGAATTTGTAGGTCTGATGATTTGAATCGTGATAACGATTCTAATGTAATAAATTACAACATGGAATATTAGTGTTTCAGCCTTTTATATTATAGTCTTAATCTGTCCTGGACATTGAGTTCTACCTGATTCTATCGTCTTGAGAATTTATATATATATATATATATATATATATATATATGAATATACACAAATGGATACATATAAGTAAATGTACGTGTAAGTGTTCAAGTGCAGGTATATATATATATATATATATATATATATATATATATATATATATATATATATATATATATATATATATATATATTATGGTATGAGAAAACAGTGTTCGATGCTAAATAACAGAGCTATTAAGTATATATTAATAAATATACATAACACCAAACCCAAGTTGACAGTACAACTCGGTGTTAAATACCTGATGATTACATTTGGCATCAAACCCCGAGTTGTACTGTTGGCGGTGTATTATATATATATATATATATATATATATATATATATATATATATATATATATATATATATATATATATAATGAGGAATTACCTGTACTTCACAGAAGAGACAAAATATCATACATTTGGTGAAATGAAATTTGTTCCAGCCGAGAATTGTTCAATTGCACCTCATTAGAAGTAACAATTATTGGGTTTGGTCATTTATCGGAATTGGGAAAGTGGACCAAAATAGAAACATTCAGGACTGTTCTCCTATACAGTGTTGCTCAGTTGTCTGAAGGAATGTCTTTCAAAAATAACATTTTTTCGAACTTGTTCTGATTATCATTTTTTTTTTTTTTTTTTTTTTTTATAAATGATGACAAACGTCAAGTTCGTAACATAAATAGCACGCTGTAATCGTTGCCTTAGATGAGTGATTTACAGACGAAAGATAACCATCTGATCCGCACAAAGCGCTTAGGGAACAAGTTGAAACATCAAGAGCCAGGAATGTTTTGGTTTGTCCCTGATGGAAAAAAAAATGACCAGAACAGCAATTGAAGGGATGAAAGATTGAAAGATGGGTATGCAGAAACCCTAAGATCGTTCCAAGGGACATGAACACAAAGTTTCCGGCAAATGTGATAATTCAGAGAGTCGTGAGCAACAAGCGAGATGTTATGCCACCTCGTTCCTTTCATCAGGGAAATCATTTTGATTATAGGAGGGCGTTAGAGAGGGCCGTGGAATCTTGGATTGAGAGCATGAGTAAGCAAGATCGTACACCTACGAAGACTCTACATCATCTCAAAAGGACAACAAAACCCAAGAATGTTTGTGTTACAATCTCGACGATAACGTCACTCCAAAGACACGGCCTCCTAACTCTCCAAACCATAACCCATTGGGCTACTACGTACGAGGAGTAGTCGAGAAGGAAGTCAATCAACGACACCATAATACTACAAAATCTCTAATCTGCAAAGTACCATGTCCAAAATAGAGTCACGCATGTCAACGTTTCAGATCTTCTACCAAAGTTGACATCGACGCTAACAGCGGATTTATTACATAATATTTCAAGAAGAGTCTCAAAATTATTCTTTTGTCAGTCTTTTTGTCAAATAAAATTCTTCTTTCCTGACTTATTGCTAAAATCCTGCAAATTTTCTCAAAGAACTGAACAACCTAGAAGCACATCAACATTATGTGGTGAAATGCAGAAAAAACAAAATTCTAAGATTATTATTATTATTATTATACATAATTTTATACGTTGGTTTATTCTGATTTTTTTACTTACATTTGTGTTTATTTTGTTTGTATTTTTTATTTTCTTTATGCGTTAATTCATTATATATATATATATATATATATATATATATATATATATAGAGAGAGAGAGAGAGAGAGAGAGAGTTTTAACGTATGCTATATTTATGGTTAAAAGTGCACAATATCAGGGATAGAGTGTGTGCAAATATAAATATAACAGTGGACACTGAGGTCAATACCAAGCGGCGACATTCTGTTTCATGCTTCCAAGATGATCAGAAGATTGCTTTGAAACAGGAAGCCAACAGTCGCAGCTTGATTTTGAAATCACTGTCCACTATGTTTGTTTATATTTGCTTTATGTTTTATCAATGTTTACTTTTATATTGATTCTTATTTCATTTACATTTACTGTAGTTGAATTCTGTATCATTTTTTATTTTGTTTATATCGATTTTATCTTTTAATCATCTTTACGCTTGCATGGTGTTTTGTTTACATTATATACATTTTTTTGACGTTTTTATTTCCTTAGAGTAATTATTTAGTTCTGTTTCTCTTCTTAGTAGACACAAATATTCATTTATGTTTATACATACATGGGTTTTGTTTACATTTATTATTGTTTACTTTGTTTTTAAATTAAAAAAAATACTTTTTTATTTTTTGTTGATAAGAGATATCAAAAGAAAACTGTGTGTCTGTAACAGTAGACTGGTGGCCACAAATAGCTCCGTAATATTCTCCCATTATAGAGTATAATTATGGTGAACCCAGTGTGACCATACATCTGGAGATTCAGGGTGCTGTAAGACCCCAAGAAAACGCGGCAAACCAGTCAGATTATCACCCCCAATAACGAAGCGGAACAAGTCCACAGACATCCTGGTTCACAGGGATTTTACCTGGTTCCCGGGCGAACCAATTCGTACCACGTGACATTTCTTTATAACTAGTCACCTAAAGGAAAAAAATAAAAAAGCGATTCCTAAAAAAGTAAACTTTTTCCAAAATATATATCTTTTACTTTTGAATTTGAAATTATTTTTCCAATTTCTTTTCTTCTAATTTCTTCTCATTATCTGGATCCTCGTTCCTGCATTGTATACGAAATCAAACATATGGCCGACTCATGTCAGAAATGAACAACATCCATCGATTTCGACTTTGGGTGACTGCATTTAAGGGAATTCCATTCAGGAAATTTTTCAGACGACGGTTCCGATCGCAGAGATGTCGCCTCCGTACTTGTTCGATCACTCTGATTGTCTTGATACTGTCCGTGCTTCTCGGCGTATTTTTCTTTCGCCTCTTTCAGAGAGCTTACCCACTGGTTCTGTTAAAAAAGAAAACAAATGAGTAAATAAGAGAATAAACAATACATACATAATACTTATATATATATATATATATATATATATATATATATATATATATAGGTAACTACACTCGTCTCGAAAACCTTCGGTTTCTTGATTTGCTAATGGTCAAATCAATCTCGAAGTGAAAAAAGGTTTTTAAAAAAAGAAAGAGCTATGAACATGAACGTCTGTCGAAAATAATCGTACAGCATACAGGTCCAAAGCCCAAAGAAAAAAAAACCCGATACGAGTAATCAACTAACATAAAGTGCTCAATACAAAAGTAGAGCAGACCTAGTCAAACCTAGAGAGCCAGACAAACCTACCAAGGATTCACCTAAGCGGATCGTCTTAGGTAAAACCTTGGTAGAGGAATCAAGAGATTCAATCCAGAGACTCTGCCCGACTGCGACTAAATCAACACATTCTCCAGGAACGGTCTTCCCAAGAATATACAAAAGACTGTATGTAAATATTTTGTACCTTTCTTGTTCATTACATTTTGTTCATCTTGAGTTGTATTATTATTCCATGCATTAGTCAAGTTTCAACAATATATATATATATATATATATATATATATATATATATATATGGTGTTGAATTCAGCGTAGGTCGCATTCGATTGGTTAATCACGCCAAAGCTCACAAGCCTATTTTTTTAAAAAGTATTCTGCTTTTGAAATTAAAATTAATCTTTCGCTCGCCGGTGGTTTGATATAGACTGAGGAGACATATTTGTGATGTTGAAACAGGATTGTAATCATGTAACGATTTTAATATGTTTTTGTTTTAATATCCTAAAATAAATAATTATATATATATATATATATATATATATATATATATATATATATATATATATATATATATATATAGCGATCTGACTTGAAAATAGAGATTAAATCCGACAGAATTATTTATTCTAAAATAGGGATTAAATCCGACATAATTTATTTATTTTATTATACATTAGGAAACAAGTAGAAAAATTTAACATGTTTCGCTATTTATTTAGCTTCATCAAAAGATTCTGGGAGTGAAAAATGATGTGTGGAATTATGTGTTTGTCAGAATTTGGTAAGGAAGGAATTGAACGCAATTCAATCTGGTCAATTCTGTCTGCAGAAACGATACTCCTGCTTTTTAGTTTCACATATACGGATATGCCCGACACGGTGCTTCCGTTTCCGTCGTTCCAGATTACAACAATATTCATTTTTAAATTTTCTTTTACTTTCATTCTTTGTATATCTTATAGCGTTTCTGTTTGTGTAGGTATCTTTTATATGGAATCCTACATATCAATTTTAAGAATGAATTTTTCATTTATTAAACCGACATATTTTATTATCGAAACGTTATTTTTTTTAGTGGATACACATATTTGTGTAGATGTTCTGTTTATTTATTAAACGGCATATTTGTTTATTTACATGTAACATTACTGAACATTAAATTCGCAATAGATATCACTTATTATCACGTCTTTTTCTATGAAGGCACTGAAACAACACTTCTGCCCGAAACGGTGTGCCTTTTTCAAAACTCAAATTCTGCTTTCTTTTATGATTGCAGCGCGGTCGATCGAAGATAGCATCCAATTCGTTCAGAAATGTTTCAAATATAAGCGATATACAACGTCTTTCTCAGATCAATGATTAAAAATGGCTTCGAGAGAATGAATACTCTTGGCCTTCATCAGATCTCATAGTCACGCGCTAGCGTATACACAAAGAAATTTACCAAATAACTAAAACCTTATCATTTAAAGACGTCTAACAATTAAAATGGATAGGACCTGTAACTATAAGGGAAAATAATAATATAATCAAGATGTTGACCCTCCACACTATCTTAAACAAAATTGTAGGAAAGAAACTTCCCATCAATATTAGAAACAGCGATGACTAGACTTGAGTAGCTTATTTTCTTGGGAGAAAAACACTTTTTAAGAGAAAAACATAATAAATTTCAACCGACAGTAATAGTAAGTGTTCAGTTAATAAATACTGAATGTTTCCTGTATGTAAATGTCTATCTCATCATTACCATTTAATTAATACCATGACCATTTGGGATGTAGGCGGTGATTGTCTTCCCAAGTTTCTTTTTCTTGTATTATCTGTAAATTATCAATACGACCATAGAAATATATTAGCTTCAAGCTGCCTTCTCCACGGTTTTGAATTAAGGGTTGTCCTTCTTCTAGACTGACTACCATTCAAAGCCGTAGAACCTAGGCTACGTTACTATGAAAAATCATAGCTTGGTAAAGAAAGGGTGGATTCGTATCATTTTTAAAGACACCGCGTGAAAGTGATCGCAACATACTAAGACGGAATTTGTGGTCGCTTGCTAATTTCCCTTAAGGCGTCTTTAAACGTGATGCTAGCCACATGTCTAGCAAATAGCATCCTCATGATTATTTAATTCAAAAACCTTCCATCATATAAATCAATGGTAATTTCCTAATGCCCTTATAACATTTCATCTTAAGAAATGTTTCATAATAAGGGGCTGCTTTCTAAAAGCTAGAGCAACATGCGGTTGATTTTTTTAAAAATAGTAATTCCTTTATTTTAACAATACAATGTATTAAAAAAAAAAACGTTAAAGGAGAATTCCAGGGAGGTAACTCTAAGAACGTTATATTTAGAGTGACTTCCCTTGTTTATATTTTTTTTGTTTATTGTTTTTTATTTTAGTTTTTTTTTTTTTTTAAAGAGAGAGCAACTGCAAATTTAAGTTTTGTTTTACAGGTAAAAACTGTGAAAAATAATATTTAAGCAAAATTATTTACTTTCCATGTAGGTAAGTAGAACAGCGACTACAATGTAAGCTCTCTTAGAAGATCCGCGTCTTCCCATTTGTGGGAGAGACCATGAACATTATACACACATACACGAACGTACGAACATTCACCAAACATTCACACACACACATATTATTGTCTATCGCCATTGTAAAATTCTTTAATACATATGTTTGTTTATATACATACACCCATACCTACCTACCTATATATACATACATATATATATATATATATATATATATATATATATATATATATATATATATGAAGAAAAAAATTTGGAAAAAACAAACAAAAATCCTTAAATGCAATTATGTTGTTTAAAATGAATGAAATGTCGACGTCTGACGTTTCGGTTTAATAAACCTTTTTCAAGACAATATTCATTAAAATACCATTCAGTTCAATTTGACAAAGACGATGGACATAAACAACAAGTCTTATCCAAAACAGATAACTGAAAATTTTTTGCATTTAAGGATTTTTGTTTGTTTTTTCCAAATTTTTCTTCATTCTGTCGGATCTATATCCATTTACATTTGCTTACATATATATATATATATATATATATATATATATATATATATATATATATATATATAGATAGATAGATAGATAGATAGATAGATAGATAGATCGGTCTTGTTTGTCTTCTTTATCTTCAGTTGGACTTAATTCAAGTCCGACCATTTTCTTGTAGTTGGACCTTTTAATATTCTACCAGGAGTTACACACCTGTTTCTATTACAACAACATGCAAACACACACTGTCTTCAACATGTCTAGATATATGTGTCCGGTTTTTAAACCTGAGAACCATCAGCGTATCTCAGGAAATATTTTAAGAAACAATTTATTTCTATAATCTTTATATAAACGTCAATAAGTGTAAATTAAAATATATGCAATTATTAACACTAGAAATGTAGCAAAAATATATGCCTCTATTTTAGCGTTTCCAATTTAACATCAATTTAATCCAACGACTTTTTAAAAAAGTGGGAAAGTTAAAATGAATGAATTGCAGAAATTTTTCATAGTTTCTGTTTAATAAAGAATTTTTTTTTTAAATTATTAATAGTAAATTGTTTATTTTATATAAAAAAAATTTTGTAGAGTAGGCGGAAATGAACAAGATCAATTCAAAGAAGCAAATCACAAAATTAAACACACCGTTCAAGGGCTCCACGCTGCCTTCTGGGTTTCAAACATACTTCAAAATTTTCAATTTAATAAATATAAATAGCTAATAAAATCAGCTCCTGACAGTAACACAAGCCTACACAAAACCATAAAAACCAAACTCAACTCGGCAGAAGGACGGACAGCAGTAAAGAGACACGATTTAACCTCGGCGTCTTGTCTTTCTCATCAAAGCAACAGTGGACTCCATTTAATTTTCTCTCCCAACTCCACTTTCTTTCTTCCTCAATGAAAAACTATTCATGTTCATTTCCTTACAGTCAAAGAGAATTTCATGATAAATAATTACAGTTATAATTCGTGTATCCTACTTTTAAATAAATATCATTTTATTTGGACACGCAACAATATTTCTATCATTTTTTTTTTCAAACAGTGACCCAAGGAATCTTTCCCCGACACTTTTCTTAAAAGAGTACACTAGCAATCATTTTATTTAATAAAGGGTTTATGTGCTTTTTAATTACAAAGGTTTTTCAGTAAAAGACAATGGGCTTTTTTTTATTGCAAAAACAAATTTCCATTTCTATTACAACAATATTTTTGTTAAAAAGTCCTTTAAAAGCCAAAAAAAAAAAAAAGAAAAAATAGAATGAAAATGGTTTAATTTATAAATATCTTCGCTTATATAAAGAGTAGAGAAATAAATCATTTATTCAAACAATTCTTGAAACATGCTGCATCAGAAGAAATGTGGGTTTAAAGTCTTGAATATTGTATTTTTAAAGTTTAAGCCGGACACATACGCACAAAATATTTCAGAGTTGTCGATTATTTTCTTTATATATAAATGTTGAAAAATAAAATTAAAATTGGGATGAATACAATTATAATAATTTAAATTACATGAGATTGTTGTTGTTGTTATTATTATTATTATTATTACTATTATTATTATTATTATTATTATTATTATTATTATTTCCCTGGGATTCTGTTGTATGCACTTTTCCTTCCGGGTCCCAACCAGAGATCTAAGGTCTGAAATGGCTTCATGATATCTTTCACTTATTTTTATTGAAAAAAAACCCCAAAAAAAACGATAACCTAAGATCACACACATTTTACATAAAGCTCTTCGTAATATGTAAGCTGTACTTGTGAGTACAGTTTTTTTTTTTTTGCATTTCTTTAAAGCATGGGCTACCAGGAATCCCGTCTGAGAGTCTATCGGAACCTTTTCCAATCAATCCGGGGGATCCAACTACAACTGGAATAATTGTTGTCCTCATGTGTCACATTTTTAGATTTTTACTTCAGGATCCTTGTATTTTGATAGTTATTATTATTATTATTATTATTATTATTATTATTATTATTATTGGTAGTAGTATTATTATTGGTAGTAGTAGTATTATTGGTAGTAGTAGTATTATTGGTAGTAGTAGTATTGTTGTTGTTGTTGTTCATTATGAATTTGTACATTACTGATTTTATTTTTATGTAATACAACAGCAACGACGGGTATCTTTGATAGTGTTAGATAAAAGAGGAGAAAAACGAGATTTTACTCACCTTGGTTGAGTCGTTATTGGTTTGTAATGTATACACACCGATAACCTGTTGGAATCGGCTTATATGAAGTAAGATGAACGTGTTCTTCAAACCACACGCTAAGGAAAGAATTTGACAAACAATCAATCAATCAAATCAGTAGAATAAATAAAATTCTTAAGACTTAAAGTCATTATAGCGATAACAAGTTTCTTTTAAAAAATGACATTTTCCTTCAGGATGTAGGAGATCGTAACACTCCTCTGTGAATTGGAATGACTCCTCTGGAAAAAGAGCAGAGTGGTTTCCCGTTGCCTTTATCACGATTTTGTATTCAGAGTTTTCCTTCTATGAGACTACAACTCTAGAGAGTTCATCCTACCCTGCTATTTAACTCATAATTATGAGACCGGCTGGGAAAGAGAAGAAGTGTATTTGTGCGAAAGAGAAAGACTCAGATGAAATTTGATGCAGATGACCGTCTATCCTTCATAAAGGAAGTGGGTATATACAGTGGCGTAGCTAAAGGGGGCGAGGGGGGACTGCCCCGGGTGCCAGCACAGGAGGGGTGACACAATGTCACCCCCAACAAAATTTTTCAACCAGGCTAAGGTGCCAAAAATAGTCTGAAAACAGTGGTGGAGACACAGGGTTTCGCAGGCTGGCATATGACCCCCCCAGAAATAATTTATGACCCCCAGTTTTGTCCCCCCGTCAGGAATTTTCTAATAAATTGTCGGGAAATTTGTGAGTAGGAAAAAATAGCAATGTTTCCATCTTTTGATTTGAACTGATTATTTTATTGTATTGGATTTTGTCTTGGATCATACATGTAAACAGTAACGTACCGGTCAGTAGAGTAGAGGTAGAGCATGTATGAAACAGCTAACCATTCAGCATAGGGTGAATCGGGGTCATTGGGGTGACATTTGAGCGGACCGCCCCGGGTGACGATTACTCTTGCTACGCCACTGGGTGTATACTCCAAAATATGAGAAGTTAACTACAAATTTGGAGTTAAAGAATTTTTTTTTTTTTTGGTAATTTTCGTGCCGGCAACAAAACGATCTTTCAAAAAGGACGGTTTTCCCTTGACGCCACTATTGTTTTAACAACCTTCACTCTCGAGGCAATAATTGATGCTTTAAGCGATGATTACAATTTTAATAAAACTCAAACATATGACAGGGAATTTATACATTTTCTTCGTTTTCTCGAAATTCACAACGAAAATATTAAACCCTATTTATTCTTACATTGTTTATGTAGAAGAATAATTTTATATTTACAACATTCTAAATATGCAAACCAACTAATACAATGCAATGTTTATGATTTAACAATTTATAAATAAATATTTGTTTTATAATTCAGTGAAAATTTTATAAAAATATGAATAAAAAATTCGGTTTCATTATTATTTATAAAATTGTAAATGATAAATATTACATTGCAGATGGTCTACATATGTTGATCATATTTTTAAATTTTTTAATAAAAAGATTTCTTCTCACCTTTATTTTTTTTTTAAATGATAAATAATAAATCTTTATAAAAGATAAATAATAAATACCGCATTGTACTTGGTGCCCATATTTTTATAATCTTGTAAATAAACATTACCAAGGGAGTGATGGTAATACAAAATAATAGCCGTCACGAGGGTTAAAATCTACCAAACGTCTTTTAAAATATTTATGGAAATGGTTTTGCTTATAGTTAATATAGAAAACTGTCATTTAATTAATTTATTTATTATTTGTTCTGTCATAATTTTTGATTAAGGGAAATAAAAATATTATTCGTATGATTAATTTTGGATAGAGAGAAAGAAAAATAAAGAAAGAAAAGTATAAATAATGAAATAATAAGAAAAACGATTGACTAATATTGAGTCTGTAAAAACTAGCAAGAATTAAAACAACATTAAATCCAATTACCTAACCTAAAGTAACTTAGTCTTCAGAATGTATTCTACAACGAAGTTTCCCTTTAAAACCTACTGTATTTTCTTGTATGTAAGATATTAGGTTGGTGCAAAAATAATGCCGTTTTTTGACGTTAAGTTGAACGTCAAAAAACGACATTATTTTTGCACCAACCTAATAATACGAGATTTTGAACGAAAATTAAAGGCGAAAAAAAAAAAACAAAAAAAAAACGGGGCCATATTATACGCAAGTATACGTTTTTTTTTTCAGAAATTTTTACTCAGCTTAAAAAACCGAAAAAACTCTTATTTGAAACAGCAAAACTGAAAATACACTCAGTTAGGAGAATAGTAAGCAATTGTTGATAACCATTGTCGATAAAAGGCATTTGATATGTCGACAATACTTGGTCTTTGGGAATCAGCCTAAGTGAACGTCTTTTGTCTTAAAGACAGGAAATTCACCGAAATTGATTTAAATAACTTAATAAAGGGAAAACACAAGATCTGTGATGTTTTGATAACATTAATATTACAACAAATCAACTTTCACCGAAAACACAAAAATAAGTTTAGAAACAGAAATGACAAGAAGAAACGCGTAATGCCTAAACATTTCTATTCTTTAATATCTTGAAAAATTAAATATTTTAGTGAAATATATGCACGACATTGCCATTTTAATGGATAACATGGTACAACTTTTGAAAAAAAAAATACATAGGAATTGTATACGGATTGATTATTTCCAATGTCGCTATCGATTGTAACATAAAGTTGAGGGTTGAAGTGGGTTTACTGGCATTACCGTGGAAAAATTGCTTTTTGATGATGCCTGGAGGCATTCTCCCCTGGAACTTGAGCTTATATTAATTTTTAACTTTCCCAGCAAAAGCCAGATATATATGAGGGATGGCTATACTACGGGATCGTTTTATAGTCAACGATGTAATTTGTTCCGTGTTTTTAGCCTCAGAAACACGGGGTTGTATTATACACAGATGGCATTATACTCAAGTTGTATTATACACAAGAAAATACGCTACGGTGTCGTGTAATTATCTCTTATTAAAACTCTTTCAGACTAGCAATTTCATCCTGGATGTGTTCATAATAACGTTTCACTCATATGACTCTCCAGCCTTCCTGACATGAAATTAACCTTCAAGAAATAAGGGAACTTTATTTCCTTTGGGATACGTTTGCTTTCCGACCATGCGATACGGGTTCGAATCTCACCATGGTCGATTTGTCAGGAAGATGATTTCTTAATGTTATCTGTCTGGAGGAGGAGGCAATCCTAGAGTTCGGCACCTTTGGAAAGGGCCTGAAAACCATACCACGTGAGTGAAATTGGCTAGACGGAACTATTTGGGAGCAGTCGATTGTTGGTTCTCGCACAAAGTCGCAAGTCGAGGGTTTGAGCATATTGGCTTTGTTCACACTGTTGATCACGCCAGATAATGTGCTCTCTTCCAGAAACTGTAACTAAGGTCCGCTCAGTATAGTTGCAATATAAATCACAGTGGGTAGGCTCTGTCGGTGTTGAACAAATGTCTGCAGCAGGCATTGGTGAACCGCCTAGTAGACAGACACCCTCGGATACGAGCGACCAGCCATTGATGAAATGGTTACACTTCAAATTTATTCAAATAATTCTTGCCCTGAAAGTGGTAATCACCTAATGATTTAGATCACAGTCTGTGAGTAAAGAGCAATGAAATATGTATAAAAAGATATGTTGAGATTTTTCAATATATTTTAAAAATCTAACAAATTATAACCACATGCAAATGAGAAAAAAATGATTACCAAAATGTTTAAACCTATTAAATTGCATTAATTACGACAGGATCACTTTAAGGCATACAGTATTCTCTTAAAGAAACCACCATGTAGCACTGCAGAGTGTAGGAAAATAGCTCCCCCCCCCCGGCAACGCTGGGTATCATTGCAAGTAATGAATAATTTACATCATCCATATAATTTTTTTCACTCAATGGACTGGCGACCTATTGATTTACATACGGAATACAGATGATATTCAAAGAATAGGAACCTAGTTACGTGAACATACTTACATATTGCTTCAGATGACGTCAAATCATGCATAATCAAACGGTCTAAGGCGATTGGTTGGCGGTAAACTGTGAACGTTCCACGGTCCAGTGTCGATACCATGTTTTGTCGTTGACCAACTTCACTAATTGTCTGTCTCTGAGAACAAAGAAAATACAATTAAAATGAAAGAAAATCGCTGAAATGAAATGATACAAATGAAGTTAATAAATTAGTTGTTCCAGAGAGATTACCAAACACGAATAAGCGCGGTAAAAATAGTGCTCAGCAATTACATGCCCAACCAACGTGAACGATTTCACGTGGGATATCTGAATGGATGCGAATATATATATATATATATATATATATATATATATATATATATATATATATATATGTTGTTAAATTTCCTAGAATAATTCTGAAGATAAACTATTTGGCTAAAAAGAATCCAATTGGAAAATATATTTCTTAGTCATTGCTGACGCGTTTCGTCAATCCGACTTTATATATATATATATATATATATATATATATATATATATATATATATATATATATATATATATATATATATAACTTTAAGGTATGCTATATCAATGGGTTAAAAGTACACAATATCTGAGTTAGAGTATATGTAATATAAAGATTTCCTTTGTAAAAATTGTTAAAGACCTATGTATTAAATCTATGTTGTTTTATACACGTTTTGGGAAAAGTGTATTCTTCTGAAGGCCTGACTGTGTGTTAAAATTTGTGCAAATTTTATGGCCTTTTAGGCTCAACCGTTGATACCGCTAAAATTGTTTGGTGCTTTCCGGATTCTTTTTTTTTTAATAAATGGAGAGGGTTTTCGTATATATTGGCCAATGATAAACAAGTTGTCAGGCCATTGTGAAATTGTGGTTGGAGCCGATATGATGGTCAAGAAAAAGGCCTACTATCAGCAGATGAGGAGGAGAAAAAACAAGAAAAGAATGTGCCGTTAACGAGAACGTGTGGTTCTCATGCTATATATTTAGAAATACTTGATAAAATCTACAATGTTATTGGTCCTAACCTGGCATCTCGGCTTCAATCACTTTCCTACTGTCGTAACGTAGCTTCCCTGTGCCTTTTCAATAAATCCTTCCATGGTATTTGTTCTGGTGAACTTTCCTCTCTGGTACGTAGACTTTATGAATTTAAGCGTTGTACTAGATTGGGGGTAAGGTCTCATAATTTTACAGTTGAAACGGCTAGTTGTAACCGTAAGTTCTATGCTAATAGTTTCTTCTCTCCCATTTCTCGCTTGTGGAACTCTCTTTCGGTTTTTTACTTCCCAGTCAACTTTGACCTTTAGAAGTTTAAATGCAATTTCAGTAGCTATCTTAAATTTTTTTTATTGCGCTCTCTCCTTAATAGTATTTTCTCATATGCTCTAACATTCAGTAACCCCTTGCGCAATAGTGGCTTTATTGTCTTGCTAGGAGGGATGATTAAATAAATGTATAGTAGCGTATTTTACCTCTTTCTACTCAGTTATATATATATATATATATATATATATATATATATATATATATATATATATTTGGATTTTGGAATTCATTTTCCTTAGACTCATCATTGATTTGTGAAAAAGATCGTTGACATTGCTTTTAGTCTAACTAGGAGAGGTGCCGGCACAATTTCGAAGTGTCAATAAGTTCGATTAAAAGACAAGGAAGCGATTAGTTTCTTACCTGATGCTTTCGCGGGGGCTTTTTGTATTTTGTGATGATAAGGATATCGTCAAAGAGAAACACATATGCATCTATCGTCTTTGTTGTTTCTGCAAAATACAAGAGCCAAAAAAAAAAGATATAATATCTGATAACAAACAAGTTAACTTAGCAAGCGGAGGAAAATCTGTTACTTTAGCCATTTTTTCAAATATATATATATATATATTAAAGAGGCCGCTCGATGGAGATAAATCAAACAACATTGGAAGACTTACCTAAAAGAGAAAGCTGTCCTTCAAAAATCAGCTGTCTTTTGGGACAAGTCAGTAATTTTTCACACGGCTGTTTCTGAAGCATATGTTTCATGAACTGTAAAAGAATTGGTTGCGTTAATTAATGTCGAAGTCACTGTTTGATTTTTTTATTATATTTGTGTCTAAAAGCATTTAATTGGTTCGGTGAGAGGTATATATTGGTCATTGACATTTCAGTCTATAAGCATTCTCTCTTTTTCTCCGGAAAAGGTAAATGCTTATAAGCATTTTCTTTATTCCGAAACAGGTAAATGCTTATATTCGCAAATATAAAATTTGAGAATATAAGGATTTACTTGAGTTGAAGAAATGTAAATACTAGACATTTTATAATTCAGTCGTTTAGCATTTACTTGTTTTAAGAAAAAGTAAATATTACTCGTTTATACTTGAGTCCATGAGAATTTCATTTGTTTGGGAATAAGTAAATATTTGTTGATTATATTAGGGGATATAAGGATTTGTTTGGTTTGGGAATAGGTAAGTATTTGTTGATTATATTTGCGAATATAAGCATTTGCTTGGTTTGGAGATAGGTAAATATTGTTGATTTATATTTGAGTATGTAAGCATTTGCTTCGTTTGAGGATAGGTAAATATTAGTCGCGTATATTTGAGTCTGTAAGCATTTATTTGGTCCAGAGATAGGTCGTTTATATATTTTTTTTTTTTTTTTTTTTTTTTTAAGCTTCTCCCTTCCCAAGCAAGTAGGGAGTGCTAGTGTACTAGGAATTAGATCAAGGCATCAAAAGATGTAGGTAAAACGATCTACTATTACACACACACACAAAAAAAAAGAAGAAAAAGCACGTAGCATACAAGAAGCCCATAAACAATGTGCGAGACGTTGAGTTGAAACCAAAATAGTTTCAGTGCTAACATGCACTTTGTAAAGAAGTCAAGAATCACTCCACAACTGTGACCAGACATTCACTTAGTGCCCAGGGCTAGCATGAATGTTCAAATGACCTCATATTCAAGCAAAGTTCACAATAGAAAATAAAACAAGAAGAGGGGGTAGATTAAATTCATTAACATTATAATGAAAGAACAGTTATGAAAACTAAAAGAAAGAAAGAAGAGTTTGTTTTTTGGAGACAGATAAATATTGGTCATTTATATTTGATTCTCTGGTCATTTACTTGCTGCTTTTCGGGGGCTTTTACAGCAAATCTTCATTTAAACAAGTTTTGTAAAAAAAACAAAACAAAAAAAAACAAAAACAAAAAAGCAAACAAACAACTTAATGCCTATTATATTTTTCTTTTTGGCGGATTAGTTTTTGTATCTTGGTGCTGACGGTGTAAAGTAGTTCCAAAAAGATCGTCTGATTTCAGTCATTATCAAGAAAGACAGAATTCAATTAAAATTCAAAATCAGTCTGATAGTTTGTGCAACTTTAGTTTGATTTGAAATTTTACGTTTTCTGTGTTTGTGTTGTCATGTAAGTATGATATTATTTTTTAAAATATTGTTCACCATATACAAAGCCAAAGAGCCACTCAATCTAGAGGGATACTTGAGTGAGGGATGTATACTATGAATTGTTTTCAGTGAAATATCTGAATTCCGGATATGCGGTTCGTGGAAAACGAACTCGGTAAGTCGATTTCAAATTCTGTCCTAGTCTGTTAACTTACAGTGTGTAAGGTAACAAACCAGGACAGAATGCTATGAGGAAAATTTCTCATAATTAAAATAGTAACGTAGACTGTACTTGGATGGCAGCAAGTTTATTAGGAGAAAAACTCAGATATCAAAAACGTGGAGAAGACAACGGAAAAACCTTTCGGAAGTTTTCATAACAATTTCCAGATAGTAACTAAAACGAAGTGTGTGTAAATCCATGATTATTTATGTCTTGAAGGGGCATGGCAGTGAAAAAAAAAAACGATTTGCCAATTCTATATTTTGAACAGGTTTTATTTCCTCCGAGAATGCAAAAGGTAAAACCTTAAGGTAACTGACGGTTTCCACTACAATTAAATTTTCAAAAATGACAATGACAAAAATCGACAATTACCCAGTCTGTATTGACCACAGATCTTATTGTATAACTTTGGAAATGTTACTTACATCAGGAATGAAAACACGGGGATCAATTTCATTTATGGTGGGCCATATCAATTGTTGGTGGATTTCGCGTACTCGTTCGTAGTTTTTTAACCACTTCATTTTGTCTTCGAGTTCGTCTGCAAACAGAAATGGTAAAATAGAATTATGTTTTAGACTCGGACATACGCTGAAATGTTTTAGAACATCATCTTTACGTAGAAGAGGAGTAGTTCGTTTGGTTGATTGGTTTGTCTGTTAAATGGCATATCAACTCTTTATGGGTCATTTAATGCCGAAATTTAATTTTCTTGGAAGCTTTGAGATAACAGAAATATGATATATATGTTATTCTGCTTTCACAACTGAATACATGGTAGATGATACTCAGCTTTTGTGCATATACATGTTTGTTGGTTGTTCATTTTGTTTAGCGGTATATCAACCTCTATCACTTATTTAATGCCGAAATCTAAATATTTTGTAGATAATTTAAAAAAAATAAAATAAAATTTCTAAAAGTATTTTGGATACACCCCAAATATTAAAAAAAAACTCTTTATTCTACATTCAACACCATCACTTCATAAAACACCAGAAGTGTTGAAACAAAATGGCTGTTTTTGTAGTGATTTTATAACATTTTTTTTATAAATGATTTATATATATTTTATATATAATATATATATATATATATATATATATATATATATAGTTAAATTCCCAGATGAATTCTGTGGACAAGTCAGATTGGTATCAAATGACAATTGGAAAAAATCTTACATTTTGCCGACGCGTTTCGTCTTCCGACTTTTTTCAAGGCAAAAAATGAAATCGAAATGTTTTTTGTTGTTATAGTTGCATTAAAAATCCAAATTTAAAAAGATAGACGCTTCTGTGTAAGCCTTTTTTTCTGGTTAATGTAAATTACTTTTATAGTAAGGGATTATTATTATTATTATTATTTTCCATGTCGACAATATAGTTAAATTCCCAGATATATATATATATATAGGTAGGTAGATAGATAGATAGATAATATTTGCGGTCAATATATATATATATATATATATATATATATATATATATATATATATATTCCCGAGAGGATAAGGTCCAGGTAGAGCTCAATGTACAATACAGAGCAAGAATATAGAATAAAAGGCTCAAACACTAATATTCCATTATATAGGTCTGATGAATTGGATCGTGATTACGATTCTAATGTAATAAATTATGACCATGGAATATTAGTGTTTAAATATATATATATATATATATATATATATATATATATTATATTATATATATATTATATCTTTAGGAAAACATGTCGAAAAATGTCAAAATCACAATTACAGCCGTGTTTCGATGCACATACAACGCATCTCATTAGGTGACTGTAAATTACTGGCGAGTGAACGATTTAATCTGATTAAATCTATTATTAGCCGAAGCGTTTTGGCCTCTGAGGGACTTTGCCTTGATAAAGTCCCTCACAGCACGAAACATGTTGGCTAAGAATTTTTAAAACTGTTTATTTCGTCTACCTGCCTGCGTATTCGATAAAACTTTAAGAAAGAAAATGTGCCACCAGCAGGGTTATAACACTCGGCTACGGAGATTCACTGCCAAGCAAGGTTCTATTTTTCATTATATATATTATATTTCTTCATATATATATATATATAATTTCTTTATATATTATTTATACATATATATTATTTCTTTATATATATATATATATATATATATATATATATATATATATATATATATATATATATATATATATTATATTTCTTTATATATGTCCCTCAAAAGGACGAAAGGCGTCGGCTAAAATTGTTTTTCCTCTTGTCTTTTATTCATTTTGTTCCTTTACAAATACACTCTATCTGAAAATAATTTGCATAAATTTATATATTAGGAAACTTAGACACTGTGGAGTAATGGATAGCGGCTCGGATTGAGGAATCAGAGAGCCGAGTTCCAGTCGATCCATTACTTGGGAAAGTTATGAATCCTCTTCTTCACTCACCAGCTATGGGTAAATATCAGGACAGATCGGGTTCTATAGCTTTGGATGGCAACTGGTCTACCTCAGAAAGAAATAGCAACATATTACGAGAAAAAAATCTGCCTGGTCAGTCATGTGTGACGTCACTTGGTCCAGGGTCGAATCCTTTGGTCACGGCGCCAACTGTGACGTCGCTCCTCCTGGTCGCAGCGTCGACTCTGTCGTTCGATCTCGTTCGCGGCTCCAACTGGGACGTGACGTTTTGCCCGCGGCGTCAGCTGTTCGCTCCTCGCTGCTCCAAGTGTGACGTTCCAACCCTTTGGTTAGATGATTACCAGCCTCGCCGTTTCCCAACCTGCTTCCAACACCTGGTTACTAGGGTAACTGTACTGATCTCCGGTCTGCCTACCCACGTTGTGATTAGATCTTAGACAGACAGGATCAAACAGGGATTGGGGCCGTATGCCAGTTGAGTTCGACGGGGGTGGCAATACACAAGTAAAAAAAAACTCACGAGGCCAAAAATTACTGATAAAAAGGGTAACAACCTTTTATATCTAATGTTCGTTACATAAAATTATTCTTACTTCCCGACCCGCTTTGTGGACTGTGGCACCAAGCTTCTATCATACAACTTAAAGACTTCGAGTTGCCTACTCTCTAGAATTTTGTATGTCGGGTGTGGTTTGGTTTCGACACTGGGCGCTAATCTCTACCAGTCGTTCACGGCTGATTCTTCTCTTCGGCTTGAGTTGGACAGGCTTATTCCTTCGGCTTGAGTTGGACGTATTTCTTCACTTCGATTTGGGTTGGACGAATTTCCACCCTCAGGCTTGGCCTGGTTTCAACTTCTTCTAGACGCAACTGCAAGTAACTTCTTCTCCTTCCGTCCTGCAACTCTTCTCGTCAAGGTCCGAACTCTTCTCTCTGCCGTCTGAGGTGATCTCTTCTCTCTGCCTTCCGGGGCTGAACTCATCTGCTTGTTTGGCCTGCAACTTTACTGCCTGTCTGGCCTGCAATTCTTCGGCTTGTCTGGCCTGCAGCTCTTCTGCCTATCTGGCCTACAGCTCTTCTGCTTGTCTGGCCTGCAGCTCTTCTGCCTATCTGGCCTGCAATTCTTCGGCCTGTCTGGCCTGCAATTCTGCTCCAACTTCTCTGCGGCTTTCGAGCAATTTTCTTCTCTTCGACTTGGCTGCAACTTCTCTGCCTGTCCGGGCCAAACGGACCGGCCCTTCTTGCCCACCAAAAGGGGGGCGAATGAGCAGGGCCCGCCGTCCGCTCTCCAACTGCTCTGGCCGTCTACCCCGCAACTCTCTGATTTCTGTCGATTGGGGTCCTGCTTTTATTGACGCCGCAACAAACTGGGGTGGGTCTGTCGGCGTCAGGGTTTTTCTTGATAATTCCAAAGTCGCATTAGTTCTGATTTCCCATTATCGCTCTTATTTTTTCCCCCCACCTCCTCCACAGCGCCTCTGGGGGAGGCACACCATCTCCCGGTCTCTCGTATGTCAGGTGACCGTTTTCGACCAATGGGTCTTGGTCGAGCGTCCTTTCTCCTCTTTCTCGCATATCACGTGACCGCTTTCGGCTAATGAGATTCTGGTTGGGCGTCTCCGTCCTTCGTGACGTCTCCAATCGGGCGTGGTCTATCCGGCTTTGTTCTGGGAAAGAGACACCTTGCTAAAAAAAAAAAAAATCAATTTGGCCTTTTTTCGCACGCACGAAAAATGACAATCTCGGCCTTTTCTCACTTTTTTGGCTTTTGTCAAAACAGCCCGCCGCTAATTAGATATGACTTCAGGAAGAATTTTCTCGTCTCGCTGGCGCTTTCTGTGAGCTAAAACAATTGTTTTCACCTCTCTGTTTTTGCTCAGACCTGATAATCAAAATCTTAATTATCTGAATTGAATATATCTTCACTTCCTCATTGTGGGGGTTCTAATCTTCAACAGGTCAGGATCTGTATACAATTCCAGCGGTCACCTTCTCATTCCCAAGACACCCTTCTCCGATTAATATTTCGTTTTCCATTGTTCTAAAAATCCCATTTCTTCAAATGGATAATGAGCTCCTACACAAAAGTAGGCCAGATGTTTTGACCGATATTTTTATCAATCGTACGTATGTTCATACACTTTTACCAAGTCTGTTTTCTTTCTTTCTTTTAATTACCTCTAATTCTATTCTTCCAAATAACAATTTCCATTGTTTTTGAAATTCGGTCAGGCGCGTTGGCCTAGATATCTCTTGACACCTGTTTTTCGCTGATGACCGGATTATCTATTTCTCCTCCTCTCCTTTCCTTTTCTTCTTCTTCCCTCTTTCTTTTCCCTTCTTCTTTCCCTTAGGATCGCCTAAATAAATTAGAGAATTATTCTCAAAACTTAATTATTCTTCGTCTAAATAACTAACAACTGGTTAATAAACCGAATAAAAATTAAATCATATTTCTATGAATATTTCTTTTTAGTTTTTCTAATAATGCAGGGTGCCACACATGTATCGAACGATACATGATCGCCTAAGCATAATTGATCGGACCAAAGTGACCTTGATATAACTACACATCAGTGCAAACGAAAGGGAACACTGAAATTTTAAATGTAAAGTTTTTTTTTGTGTTTTTTTTTTTACTCTATTTCTACGCCAGGAATAGTAATTCTGCATGAATAATGTGATTTATTTTGTTTTTTTGGTAATTTCGGATCCTTATTGCAGTAGCTAAGAAAGTATTGAATCCAATCCTCCCGGATCTTATTTTTTTCTCTACTAAGATTGAGTACATAATTGATTTTTCAATATTACAGTAACGGGAGAATGAGCTCAGTTTTGCGCAAGTTCCTTTTTAAGTTGCAAGCTTCTGACCCCAAAGCGTTTTAAGCCATGTAAACTATTTCTAAACGTCTACCATGTATATTAAAGTGACTTTACGTATGTTCCATGTTGTAGACTACGGATTTCTTCTTAAAGAGATGAAATTTGGCATGGGTAAACATTTTAAAAAATCCGCTTCGTTTGTTTTATTTTATTTTATTTTATTTGTATTTCGTATATTGTTTTCTTTTTATTTTTATTTTCATGATCAAAGGGAAATAACTCTGTTATTCCTTTCCAAGGGAAATAACTGTCAAATTTTAATATATATTTTTAAACAAACATGTTGTCCATAGAGACATAAATAGATATTCTTAAATAAGCAGATAGCATAATTTTACTTTCATAGTATAATATCAATTTTATTTATACTATACATTTTACTTTCATAGTACGGTATTGATTTTATTTATATAGTAATTATCAATTTTACTTTCATAGTACACTAATATTTTCATTTACATTTTACTTAGGTACTTCCACGAGATCGCTAAAAAAAGAGCATAGCATGATGAAAAAGACGCCAAACTTGACGAAAACAAAATTTTATCGTCCAAATGTTTGTTATTATTAAGAGGAAAGGTCAAAGTATTTTTGGGGTATTTTTTACCATTTTTTAATCGTTCCTAGCACGTCCGAAATTTTCGTTAAAAATCTAGTTTTTTTTGAGTCAGCAAAATTGATCATTTTTTTCCATTTTAAAAAAAAATGGAAATCTGATTTTGAAATTTTTTAAATATCAATTATCATTTTTTCAAAACTTATTTTAAGAAAATCAGAAATTATAATGTTTATTTAAAATATTTTGAGCCAAACTTAACTTAGTTTTTGTGCCAAAAAAGATGTAATTTGAAAATAAAACAAAAGCAGGTCATAAACTTTCGCGTCTCTTGACATGTGATGAATGATATATTTACGAATTCCATGAGGCTAATTTGTTCTGGAAGGAGAAAAGTGAAATAATTTACAATTACGTGAACAAATTATTTACCCCGTTATTTTAACGAAAACTTTCAGCGGTCTAATTTTTTTTTTTTTTGTACTTAGCTTTCACTTTTAAGTTTATGACGCTTTATGGAAATATATTGCAAAAAGAAATTAAAAATAAAACCGTTAAGAGTGACATTAAATTTCATATTTCTTAAGAAAGGTATCTAATTAATTTATAGGTACCTTTCTTATGAAATTTTATCAATTGTACATAAAATACTATAATTTTATGTACATTTATTACATTCTACTGTTATTTGTATTTGCATTCATTTTATTATTAATTTTGATATTTCATTTATGGAAAAAAATGTCGTAACTGAGATTAATATAAAAAATAAGATCATATAAATTTCATAAGATGATACTGATACTTGTAGGTAACCTTCTCAGTTGAAATTGAAAAATCAAATTAACTTCTCCACACGTGTTTCGCAAAAGTAAAAGGCCTTAACAGCGGAGAACAATGCTTAACTCAAATAACGCCAACTTAATTATATTCTGGTTGGTCTTCCGTATTTTATAATTACAATTATAATTAAAATTACAAAATTAATTGGGATCTTCTGATTAGTCAAAATGATACAATTTACAACGCTAAAAAAAAAGATCTATCTCATAAGGACACTTATGAAAGCCGATGCGGCTTTTTAACTAATTTTATAATATTTTAACAACTTAAATGTAAAATCTATTATAATTAAAGAAATAACAAATAATTGTATTAAAAATTCATTTTTCATCGAAAAAATTTTTTGCTTTCAGAAAATATTGTCTATATTCATAAAAAAACAACTCAAAAAGCAAATAAAAGCATTTGAAATTAAATAATATCTTTTTTTTATTGAGTTTTGTATGTTTACAATTCAGAGCTGATTTTCAGGTACTGCGTATCAATTAAAATTAAAAAAAAAATGATTTGCATTCATTTCCTGAAAGTTTCATTAACATCCGATAATTATTTCTATTTTTGCACGATTTTCAAATTAATGTGCCATACCAAAAAACGTGCTAAAAATTGTCTATGTTATTTACTAGTTCGCTGATACAAATAGAAACAAGGTTTTTTAATCAAAATTTAGAATGTTCTAAAAAGAAGGAAAATTTTTAAAAATAATTAAAAAAAACTTTGGTCTTTCCTCTTAATAATAACATAAGCATTTAGACAATAAAATTTTGTTTTCGGCAAGGTTGGCGTCTTTTTCATCAAGCTATGCTCTTTTTTAGCGATTTCGTGGAGGTACCTAATTTTACTGTATTATGTAAATAAATAGATAGTGTACTATGATAATACACTATCAATTTTATTTAACTAGTAAACTATCAATTCAAGAACGCTTCGGAAAATGTGTTAGTATTTATTGGTGTACATACGTCGAAATTGGCTGTGATTTCGTTGATGAATGTTAAAAATCTTTTCGATAGCTTTTTGTAAAAATATTTTGATGAAAATTTAATATTTCATGGATTTTGCCATTTTGTACACAGCATAGAGGAAAATATGAAGAGAGTTTTTTTGCTTTTTGTTCGAACTCCTTCAAACAAAACCTCTTTTCGATAGTTAAAAGATGTTAGGCTATTACTTACACAACGAATTCTCCACTTTCTCAATCGATTCTGTGATTTGCTGTTTCTCTTCTTCATCTTCTGTGTACATCCTTATGTTACTGAGCATGAGGGGTAATTTTGTGCAGTGCTGTATGGGGGCTACAAGTAGATCGGGGATTTGAAGCCGGTTGCAGCGTTGATCTTGTTCACACCACTAGAAGTAAAAACATATGGGATGGAAAAAAGATAGGGAATAGTCAAAGACAAAATAGAATGAAGAGGGAAGTGGTGGTGGAAAGAAAGAAAGAAAGAAAGAAAGAAAGAAAGAAATAGGAGAAAAACAAAGAAAGAAAGGAAAAAGAAAGAACGATAAGATAAAGAAGGAAATAAAATACTAAGAGAACATGAAAAGACAAAGAAAGGAAAAAGAAAAAAAAAGATAAGATAGAAGACAAAAGAAAAAAGAAAAGAAAGAAAAGTATAAAGAGAGAAAGGAAAGAAGGACAAAGGGAGAATCTGAAGTGTTTGTTGGAAATCAATTAAAATGATGTGAAATAAATACCAATTGAAAATAAGTAAACATATTTCGGATAGAGAATTCAGATATTAAGGTATGGAATACTATAAGTGCCATAAAAAAAAGATGAAAGAAATGAAACTTACGAATTAATAGTAACAAATAATGTTTAATTTTACAGTACCCCATAGCATCTAAACTTTGAAAGGACTTTTAATTTCATTAAATATATGAATGTCGTAAAATATAGAAGGCGAAAAACTACTATTTCAAAATTTACAGTATTTGTTTATATTTTAGTCTTATCAACCCTTTGAGGCTCATTTAAAGCCAAAACATATTTTGGATTTTAAGGATAATTTCTTTTTGGAGTGAATATTGCATTAACAATGTTTTGAGAATAAATATCATCTTCCAGTTGCAATTCGTATCATTCAATGCAGAGATAATGAAAAAAGTTGGAAAAAGTTTATTTGCGAGTTAGAGAAAGCACCGAACAATACCCAAAGTCGAACACTGAGTTTTTATTCCAATTCGCTAACACCACCCGCACATTCACTATAATTTAACGAAACACTGTTACATTGAATATTACGAGTATTATAAAAATATTCAAAAATTAATGGTAATTATTAAAATTAATGTTTTTAAACAACTTTAATAACAATAAAAAGAAATAAAAATATAATGAAAGAAATACCAGGCAAATAATAATAATAATTGATAACAAATATCAAAAGAATGTCCTGGGATTAAATTTAACGTGATTAGATCATATAAAAACCAAGCATACCTTTTCAAATTCACAGAATTCTTCGTGGCGACGTAGCTGCTCCAGGTAACTCATAGCGTTCATATAGTTTAAACAATAAATATGGTACACGTCCCCGTCTTTTGAATGGCATGAAAACTGTAAAAACAAAGAAAAGAAAAATAATTTCAACAACGAAACGCAAAATATAATGAGTATTTACATCTCACTCCAAATCTCAAGTGGAACTCATATATGCGATCCGTTAGTAAAGATGCTGGAAAAATGATCGGCTTCTTGTACCACTACAGAAACTACTTGACACTTTCAGGCAATATCTATCTTTATAAGTGTCAGATCAAACCATATATGATCTGGGACTGCCTGGTACTCACTTACCAGCTTTGACAGAATTCAAAATCGTCTGCGCGGCCATGTCCGTGATGGAATTTTCCACCCTACAATTCTTTTCCCACAGACGGAATGTTCTTAGTCTGTTGTTATTTCTATAGCAAGTGTTCAGACAAGCAAAATTCCTTAGTTTTAACAATTCAGCCATGCCCAGCCAAGCCGCGTACACAGGGTCGACTAATCCGCATTCTCTTCGTATTCCATTGGTAACGAGAAAGCTCCACTCAGACTTTCTGAGAACTGTTGCTATGTGATCACTTCTCTAGCGATGCAATATCGCATGTCTATCTTTACTGTTAAGCAATTTCCATGGCAAATATTCAGATGAACGTCTTTCTTTAGTTCCACCAGTTCAGAACTTTACAGCTAGGACTCACCATACTACATACACGGAGTCAAAACGGAGTATCCTACTTAATTTCCACTTCCTACCAACGCTTCTTCTTCAGCTTGTATTGGGTGAACTTCAGGATAAAATATAGCTTTTACTATTTTTTGTCTTTCCTTGAAGTGAGTGCTGTGCAGTATTTTGATATTGTCTACTAAAAATTCTTTTTTATGCTAATAGGATTCGGCACCCTTCCACAGAAGCAGATCCCAGTTATGGATGTTAGACAATTTCTTCAAACACAACAATCTTACATCTGGCCACCTTACTCCCTAGACTTGCAAACCCCTTGATTATTATGTGTGGGGCACAGTTGGGCGAAAGACCAACATCTTGTAACACCAAATACGAACTAAAGACAAGGATTATGACAGCATTCACCAACTTAAACAAGGAGATTGTCCAGAAGAGATGCAGGAGATTGTGAGGTCGTTTGGAGGTTATGGTTGAAGCCAATGGCGATTTTATTGTATAAATGCACTCTAATATTTCAAGATAATTTGGTGAAATATTGGCAAATATATCTGTTAAAATGAGATATAAGTCTTATTTTCATTTTTGCATAATTTAGACGATCATTCACCCATCGTAACCTCTATATATGATTACAAGACAGTAAAAGTTTCATTCCTCTAGGTTTACTGCTGTTGGTTTAACTGCCATTACACATTGAAACAGTGAAGCGCACTCTGATGACTTCGTAATTTGAGCAAGTGCCTTCTTCTTTATATGCTCTGTCTTTTCAGGATATCGGTGATCATGGCCCTCCACAAGTTTCTGTCCTTCATAGCTCTTAATAATTTTTGTCTTTTTGTTATTTCTCCTAAACTTTGTTCCGCCATCCATTTACTCAAACTTACTATGTATGTTATGCAGTCTTTTCCTCTGTCCCTCTTGCATTTAGTATGTCATGTGCGTATAAGATTTTCCAACTCGCCTTCCCTCATTATATAACCTAGAAATTTTAACAGTCTCTTCCTGATGTTAATTATAAGTTTACTCTTTGTTTCCATTTTCTCTAAAACTTTGTCGTCCATGGTATTCTCAGCATCGTTCTGTAAAGCCAGATTTTTGTTGCCTCAAATATCTTCTTCATCTTCGTGGAGAATGCCCACTTAAACTTATCAAAGTTTTAAAGAAAGGTGTTGCATATGGGTTTGCTACCCAACTCTACAGTTTTAGTTTCTCTGGAAGAGTCTATGCAATAATTAAATCCTTTTTTTTATGTAGGTCCAAAACTGTTGTTTTGAATAGCTAGTCTACTGAAGTCCATTACATTAATGCAGTTGTCTTCCAAGGCTCTCTCCTCTGCTCTCTTTCTGCTTTTTATTAACAATATACCTACGAATAATCTCAGATCTTTAATAAACATGTATGTAAATGAACCAATGGTTTATGCAAGAGTTTCCAACTCTCAAGATAATCAGAATCTTTCACCTGCTTTCTTCGCTGACCTAGCTCTAACACCTCACTGGGGTAAAAAAATGGTGTTTAACATTCATTACCTCAAAAAATCATTTCCTCATCACTAATCAAACCCTGGATTTTCTCCAGTCACGATTAACGGTTGCATTCGCAAAAAAAGGCTCCATGCTTTAAACGTCTGCTGAGTCTTAAGGTCATTCCGGAATTCAAGTGAAACTCATATATACGACCCGTTACTGAATATGAAGGAAAACTCACTCTATCGCTCCAGAATGTAGATGGCTCCTACCATGACTTAGAGACAAAGGTCAGATTAGACAAAAAATGATATGCGGCTGTCGCTGGACGAGAATTGCTCAATCATAACATTCCAGCCTTGAGAGTTCAAAATCGTTTATGCGATCTGGTGGGAGATGACGTATTAGAAAATAAAATATGTGTGACAAGAAATGTGGTAACACAAACCTTCCCATTTATAATTAGACCATCTATTTGGGAGACAAGCCATCCTACACGGAAATTTACAGGAAGATCAACAACTATATAAACACACCTTGAATCAAATTTTCTTTATTTTGTTCTTTAATGCCCCATACGTTATTATTTCTTTCCTCTCACTGACTTATATTCTGAGACCAATTTATACATATTTCTCGTTGCTTTCTTAATGTGTTATTATTTCATTATCAGTGAACTGTGTTAATAATGATATTATTATTATTATTATTATTATTATTATTTGTATTTTCTTTGATTTCTGGCGTTTACACATTTCTTTCCGGGTCCCCCCAAGTTCCTAAGGTTAGAAAATGGCGTCATGACACTTTCCACTGACAAAAAAAAAAAAAAAAAAAAAATGATTACATAGATAAAGCCCTTCGTAAGGTGTGGGCTGTACTTGTCAGAACAATTTTCTGTATCTCCTTGAGGCATGGACTTCCAGGAATCCCTTCAATTAGTCTACTGGAATCTTTTCCAACCAGTCCTAGGGCTCCAACTACAACAGGGATTGTTGATGTTGCCATATGCCACATTTTCGCGATTTCTATTTCAAAGGTCCTTGTACTTTGACAGCTTTTGAATATCTTCAAAGATACATTGCAGTCAGCAGGGACTGCCATATCAATAAGGAGGCACCGTTTTTTGTTTGTGGTCTTTAATAACAATATCTGGCCGGTTGGCCTTGATTGTTCTGTCAGTGTGTATTGTGTAATCCCATAGAATTGTAACAGGTCCTATATCCGTAACCGGGTCTGGGTGGTGTTCATACCAGTTTCTTTCAGTTTTCTTCCCGTAGAAGTTGCAGATTTTCCAGTGCAGATATTGGCCCACTCTGTCATGTCGGGTTTTATATTCAGTGGGTGCCAACACCGTACAACCTGATACAAGATGATCAATCGTTTCTGGATATTTATCACAAAATCTGCATTTTGGGCTGACACAATATTTTAGTATATGTGCTTGATAATTCCTAGTTAGCAAGCATTGGTCCTTGTATTATTATTATTATTATTATTATTATTATTATTATTATTATTATTATTTAATTTGATCTGTGATTCGGGATAATTTAAATGAATATTTTCTTCGTAAATTCTAATGAAACTTCATCGATTAAACAATCATTGGGCTTAATTTTTGGCGGCTGTGCGTTTAGAACAAATGCTACATGACATCCACACACACACACACACACACATATATATATATATATATATATATATATATATATGCATATATGTATGTGGATATATTTTAACTGCAAACGTTATATTTAACGGGTCCACGTGTTTGAGTAGGCATCCCTGTTTTGTAAACAATTAAATTAATGTCTATCGGCCTTGAGATCGAAACTCTTACTAAAGACAGTGTGTGTCCCGAGGAGTGTTTAACTTGTATTTACTTTTCTATCTGAGAAAGCACTTACAGGCCAAGTGTGCCCTTACTACCATATTATGGGAAGCCCTCACAGCAAAGCATTGTTAAATCAATACGCCAGTAATTTAATGATTAAGAAAATCATTATTTTTCCACAAAAAATATTGATTTATTAATATGTTCTTCTTTCATGTCCGTGTGGTTAATTTAGTAGTAGACATTCATAAGATATTTTGAAAATAATACAATAAAAATCCAAATCCAATTTAAACAATGAACATACAGAGCCTCTTATATATGCGGTTCTGTGCTAAAATGTCGGGATAGTGTTTATTTGCAGCGTTTTGGCATAAGCGGAAAAAAACAATTAAGTTGTGTTTGTGTTACCGTGTGCATCTCTTTACCGTCCCTCCACTCTCTCTCGCTCTCTGTGCATGAGTGCACGCGTATGTGTGTGTGAATGTGTGTGCGTGTGTGTCAGGATGTAAAAATATTTCTTTAGAAAGTTCTTTAGTTGTCTTTGTAAATATACTTCAGTAAACTGAAACTTTAGGTAAATTATGGAGGATTCTACGCAATGTAATTTAATGTCTAATAAACGAAAGAGAATAAATATATTCTATTGTTGTTGTTTTTTATTTTTAGGGTAATGTGGGCTTCAGTTTCTTAGTGCTCTTAAATAGTATCCTATAATTATTGCAGTTTTTATTTTGTTGCAGTGGTGAGAATAGAAATTAATAAGGTCATTCTTGTTGGTGTATTTTCTGCAAATCCTCAGATGAAGGTCATTATTATGTATAATGTATATACTATTCTTGTATATATATATATATATATATATATATATATAATAAAACAATATATATATATATATATATATATATATATATATATATATATATATATATATATATATAGGTAGAAAAGAATATGTATGCACATACTAACAAAACGCACACATTCAGTACACAAAAATAGAAATAGGTTTAAAAAG